AACACTGTCACAACAGGAACACATATAATTACCGTATCTCTAAAACTTGAACTAATATTGAAAAAATAAGTTTCATTCCGGTTTTAGCACATTAAAAATAGTAATATTTTGTTGATTTTATTTAGGATATTTTTTGGCTGTTGGACTGTTATAACAGTCCACGGGAAAAGAAAAAATTGGGAAAAGCGTGTATCTCCGACCTTTTCAGGAAATCTTGTAATGGGTGATTCATTTATAGGTACTTTTTTCAGCAACAAAATAAAATAACAAAATTATTTTTTCTTGTCAAAGCGTTTTTATTGAAAAAAACTATTTTAAATATTATTTCTTTCAAATGTTGGCCCTGACTGCGGTTGAGATGGTCCGTTCTAAAGTTCCAATTTTCGATGACACGTTGGAGCATTTCGACTGAAATTTGGCGAATGACCTGCGAAATGTTGGCTTCTAATTCCTCAATCGTATCGGGCTTATCAATGTAGACTTTGGACTTAACGTAGCCCCAAAGGAAAAAGTCTAGAGGTGTGATATCACATGATCTAGGTGGCCAATTCACTGGTCCAAATCGTGAAATTAAGTGTTCATCGAAATGTTCTCGCAATAAAGCTATGGTTGCACGGGCCGTGTGGAACCAAATGTCATCGAGATTACGGGCTTCAATGTCAGGCAGCAAATAATCCGTTATCATGTCGCGGTAACGAGCACCATTCACAGTTACGTTCTGACCGGCCTCATTTTTAAAAAATAGGGACCGATGATTCCACCGACCCATAAACCACCCCAAACCGTTGTTTTCGCTGGATGTAATGGCAGCTCTTGAACCACTTCGGGTTGTTCTTCACCCCAAATACTACAGTTTTGTAGCCGTTAAGCCAAAAATGGGCCTCATCGCTAAACAAAATTTTGCTCGAAAACGTCGGATCTTCTTCAAGCCGTGCAAGAGCCCGAAGACTGAAACGATGACGCGTTGGAAGGTCCGGCTTCAATTCTTGAACGAGTTGAGGTTTCAAATTAAGATTCTTACGTAAAATACGCCAAGTTGTTGAATACGACAAGCCAAGCTGTTGAGAACGGCGCCGAATCGATTCTTCACGGTGTCCTAAGCTACCGCAGCTACATTTTCTTCACTGCGCGCTGGATGTGGTCTATTTCGTCGGGTATTATCCAATAATGAAGTTGCTCTAAGTGCACGTGACACACTTCTCGCAGAACGTAATACAGCTGAATTATTTACAGACGCTGTGCTGGACTAAGTCTTTCCATCGTGAAATGTCGAACAATACTGAAACAGAAAATGTCAAATTAGTTGTCATGACGCATGCGCCATAAGCAATTACAGCCACACCAAGAAAGTACCTCTAAATGAATCAGCCGTTACATACTCGCAACGAAACTGTGAAGTTTGAAAGGCCTATTAGAAAAATCAGGAATTCTTGGGTACCTGGAGTATAAGTCGATTTTTGAGCAAGTAGGACGCGTATCTGGATTGTAGTATGGGGAGCAGCTGCAAAGACATATGTTGATGAAGTAGAATTGGTACAAAAATAGATTTTGAAAAGAATTTATAAAAAAAGGTTACACACATAAAACATTTTCGCGGTGCGTCTATGCGCTGATTTGACATCGAAAAATAAATAATGATGTAAAATGTAATAACGTTTTCACTTCTCATAAATACCCCTGCCTGTAGCCTATTTTCTCACCAGTTAGTTGTAATACAGAGTGTAACCGTTATGGCAGTCATTATTGAAATGTGTAATAGGGGGGGGGGGGTCAAAACGAGTCAAAAGGTTCATATGACCCATGGTCCAAAAGTCAATAGATTTTTATCTAAATGGCTTTATAGTTTACAACTTTAAGTTCTTTATATCGATCACAATCTTACTAATTTTTATAATATAATCTAAAACCGTTTTAAATTTGTAGTCAGTAAGTAAGTAAGTTTCATTAAACTAAATATTTAAAACACACATGGCAACAGCGCGTCGGGCTTTCGTCACTCTTATCGAACCGGCAATCGATCGCAAACGGTAACAGTGGTTCGTTATCGGGCGTCGGGCGTGTTGTTTTGTTTCTGTTCGCGTACGTCGTCGTGTTTATTTACAATGTTCTCAAATCAAGAGTTCGCCGGCATGTTGTTAGTTTACGGCGAAGCATGTCAGAATTCAAATCTTGCAGCTCAAATTCATCGCGTCAGATTTCGCCAACGGATACACCTTCGTCAAAATTTGCATCTGGCATTGCGGCGTTGTCAGATTTTATTTTACTTCAAAGTCGCTTTTCTCTAAAAAAATTTCGTTTTAACCCCCATCCCAACTAGCAAAGTAGTGGTATAAGCTTTTGGTAAAAGAACCGTTCAGCCATAAAAGCTCTCTATTGTTGAACACAAAAATGCTGGCTTAATGTTGTGTGGAATGCAGATTTGCTTTCTGCAACATATTTGCTCTAAAATGAAATGTTTAAAATATTCTTATAGCATAGTTATACAACACCTTATAGGGCAAATTTTTAACTGTTGCATAAACGTTTATACAACTATTTTATACGGCATATTTGCACGTTAGTCAAAATGGTTGAGATGACTGTAAAGTGTTAGTTATATATTCTTCTTCGTCTATACAATACATAAGAAATAGTTTGGTTTCAATAAAGTAGAATCACGTAACATAACAGTTGCATAGTTAACAAAAACTGAATCTTGCACTGACGCAAATGTCCTATAGCGGCTGCAAGAAGCTTACACTTTTGTTTTATGACTGTTACCTGCAGCCCTTATACAACCTCTTAAATGACTTAAGTGTCCTATTAGGTGCGCCCATTCCGCTTGTATAGCTGTTCTAAGACGGTTTTGCCAATGTTCTTACAGTATACAATGCTGTTTAAGGAATACTGTATAATCATTCTTGCAACTCCAATAGGAGTGATAATTGTTAGTTGAAACTTTTTGCTTCTTTCAACCCCCTATATCGACCAGCGACTTTCTTTTTTCATCTCTCTCATTTTTGAAATTTGGCAAATCTGCACATGTAATTTCCAGCATGAAGCATATACCGTAGGTGTATTTTTGAGATAAGAATAACGTAAAAACCAATGTAATGTCACTTTTCAAGATACGTAACGCCTTTTCCGTTTTGCTTTTTACACTAATGAAAACAATAATCCGCTTTTCCACCTTTCCTCCGGCACCGCGAACTTAGTAGCTCCTTAGGCGATCGCAGATAGCAGGCTAGAAGGCAGGCTGATAGAACGCTGCATTTAATTTGCTCAGCGGGACGATCATTATTAATGATCGGTCAGAATCACGTCGTAAATCAAAGCAGGTCGAGGGCTGGCGATAGCACAGTATATAGCCCAGGTATTTTAGATTAGTAGTAGCAGTAGTAGCGCAGATTAGATAACAATCTGGGCTGCGTTTGTAAATTACCGTACACAGTAATGGAATGTAGATGAACAGATGAAAATTTACTCTGTAATAATTTGGACCTGCTAAAAATAAAGTTTCACAGTAATTTAGAGTCGCCGCAAAGTTGGGGTTTTCCTTTACACGACGTGTAGATCTTGAAAACATAAGCAATTTTTCTTAGTACCATATACACCAGTATCTTAAGGGAACCGAGATAAAGGGCTCTGCAACATCAAAAATATCTGAATACCGTCCTGTAGCCGCGACATCACCGACTGGTACAAGGTCACTGGCTCAACCCGACGACAGAACTGGGTCGGGGCCAGTGTGTCAGCTCAGTATGCAACCTTCAACCGACGGTTACGGTCACGCGTGTAGAGGTAATCGCGTAGACGAGAATCCCTCAACAGGCACTAGAGACGTGGCTAGAGAAGTGCAAGTATCAAAAACTAAAGTGTGGCAAACGCTGCGTGAAGAGGGGCTGTATCCGTTTCACGTCCAACGTGTACAAGCCTTTCAACCTGACGATTTTCCAGCAAAAGTGCGGTTTTGTGAGTGGTTGTTGCATCAACATGACAATAATCCGGACTTCTTGAAGTGCATATTGGTGACAGACGAATCTACGTTCACGCGTAATGGGGTGAATAACTTTCGCAACACTCATGTTTGGTCAGTAGAAAATCCGCACGCTGTCCGTCGGGCACATTTTCAACAAACATTTTCGGTGAATGTTTGGGCTGGCATGGTGAACGGTATGCTCATTGGACCATTTATTCTCCCAAATCGATTGGACGGGATGCAATACCTAGACTTTTTACGCAACATTTTGCCTTCCTTGTTAGATGTGCCATTAAGTGTAAGACAATCAATGTGGTTTCTGCGTCTGCTCGGTAGCGCAACAGCTGATTTCATTTTCTGTTGGAGCGGTATGATTTCGGGCAGAGACGTACTTAGCCCTTCTCGTCAACTGGAGAGTGAGTACTTTTTCCTTTATTTTTTTTTACTTGGTCGCCCTCGTTTCACTAGACATTACCTTGGTTATTTCAAGGGTAGTTGTTTTTGAAAAGGAAAACCCCAACTTTGCGGACACCCTGTATAGAAAACCTAAAAAAAGCAAAAAAAAAACGACAAAATGTCATCTTGAGGACTGGGTAGCTTTTAGTGTGCGAATAGTTCATTCTACGTTTGCTCGCCAGGACCGCTGTGAGCGTCCATCTATGGAGGAACAACACAACGACATGACATGCTCTAACATGCATTGTTGGTTGCAGAAATCCAAGTAGTGTTTATGTCTGAGAAGGTGTGAAAGAAAGAAAGTTTGATGGGTGTTTGATTGCTGGATGGTTATGTGTATTGGTCTATGAGAAAATTATTACTGGATTTGCTGCCAATGAAGTATATTTATAAGCTTGCCCGACGGATTATTTATACGTTGTCCGTTCTGGAGATCCTTCCCGTTTTTTTTTTTTTATTAGATGTTTTACAAGGAATCGACTACATTCATTAGAAGCATTCCCTCATCGATCGAGTTTGTGACCTAGGAGCAATTTTGTGAACCAGATTGGCAAGATCGGGATTAAAGGTTCCGGAATGAAAGTCGTTGTTTGTAATTCACCAGTTTATTATATGAATTATCATAATGCATACGAGGTCCATAATTTTTCTATAAGTATTCTAAATACAATAATTTATCTAAACAGTACTTTCACATCTTCAAATACCTCGTCTTGACTCCTGTTAGCATCGACCCGCCTCAGTAACCCCTCTCTAGCAAAATACTCCAAAACCGGCGTTGTATAGTTCAGATACGTTTCGAACCGTTTTCTCAAGGTATCCACGTTATCATCGTTTCTTCTGTCACCATTTGAGCTCCTATTCAAGCACCTATTCTGGCTTTCTTCCAAGCAACAGTCCAAGAACAGCACGAATTTCAGAGGCAAGACGTCATTGCTGAAGCCGTAGCTGAACCAACCCTCTAGATTGGACATGTTTCTCGGAAAACCGTCGACGAGAAATCGGTCCTTCTGTTCGTTTTTAAATGCTTCGTTCATTTCAGCTTTGAGTAGATCACAGATCAAGTCCGCTGGCACCAATTTACCTGTAAGGGGAATCAGAAAACGTTACCTTTTTTCATACAAAAACAGGTTTTAAAGAGACGGTGAGAACCGACGTAGAAGAAGAACCGAAAGCCTAGCGAATGAACAGAACCCTGAGGAATACCTGTGTTGCTGACAACAATTTACCTAGGGGAATAAGAAAAAGATACTTTTTTCATATACAATCAGGTTTTAATGAGACGGAGAGACTAAGAACCGAAAGCCTAGCGAAGCAACTGAACCCTGAGGAATGCCCGTGTTGATATAGTAAAGCCTTTTTGAGGAGTGATAGGACAGAATCCAGCTTTTCCGTGTCTAGTGTGCAATCTCCCTATGGAGCTCGATTTAACAGCCAAAGGCTTTGAAACGAACTATATGCTTCAAACTAGAAGGTTCCCAGTTCATCTGTTATGTTGGAAATCATACAGCAAATGTAACGAAGATGGAAATTGTTGTCCAAAAGTCCACCGAGGTTTAAAAAGTTGCAACCCACCTTTTAGCAGATATTCTCCGATCAGTTCACCATGTTTCGACCCAGGTTTCGCTTGTTCCTGCCTCAGTAGCTCACCAGCAGATATGTGATAGTACCCAAAGGTCTCTGCTATCCTTTGACCTTGAGTACCTTTTCCGGCTCCGGGAGGTCCAAGAATAAACACCACGCTCGGAGACATCTTTGCTTCAGCGCCAATCATCGCTCGTAGACTATTTATAATGTCAGTAGATCTGCTATCAGTAGTTCCCACGGTGTTGTCTGTTCCATTTCAGGAAAACTATTCCCACAGAGATATGAGCGATAAGATCGAGAGGTGATTGTTTCATCTGATTCGGGAAATGCAGATCCAAATTTCGAGCTTAGTCATATCAGTATGGATAAATTGTACTAAAGCGATATCTACTGATAATGATACTCAATTAAGGTGATTCACGATTGATTTTTATCCTTGACCGACAGCTAGCTTATTGAGATAAAAAAGTATTCGTCAAATTATTGTGTATTCGATATCAATATCACAAAGTTACATTTTAGTCTTCCGTGGGAGATAGTGTCTGTTGAAGCATTTTAAACCCTGCGTAAACCTCAGCGGAATTATACAGGGTGTCCGCAAAGTTGGGGTTTTCCTTTTCAGAAACAACTATCCTTGAAATAACAAAGGTAATGTGTAGTGAAACGAGGGCGACCAAGTAAAAAAAAAATAAAGAAAAAAGTACTCACTTTCCAGTTGACGAGAAGGGCTAAGTACGTCTCTGCCCGAAATCATACCGCTCCAACAGAAAATGAAATCAGCTGATGCGCTACCGAGCAGACGCCGGCGGTGGTGCAGACCAGTAGACCACGAACAGAGGTAACAAATATGACCATCGTGCAGAAACCACATTGATTGTCTTACACTTAATGGCACATCTTCTAACAAGGAAGGCAAAATGTTGCGTAAAAAGTCTAGGTATTGCATCCCGTCCAATCGATTTGGGAGAATAAATGGTCCAATGAGCATACCGTTCACCATGCCAGCCCAAAGATTCACCGAAAATGTGCCCGACGGACAGCGTGCGGATTTTCTACTGACCAAACATGAGCGTTGCGAAAGTTATTCACCCCATTACGCGTGAACGTAGATTCGTCTGTCACCAATATGCACTTCAAAAAGTCCGTATTATTGTCATGTTGATGCAACAACCACTCACAAAACGGCACTCTTGCTGGAAAATCGTCAGGTTGAAGGGCTTGTACAGGTTGGACGTGAAACGGATACAGATCATCTTCACGCAGCGTTTGCCACACTTGCACTTCTCTAGCCACGTCTCTAGTGCTTGTTGAGGGATTCTCGTCTACGCGATTACCTCTACATGCGTGACCGTAACCGTCGGTTGAAGGTTGCATACTAACCTGATACACTGACCCCGACCCAGTTCTGCCGTCGGGTTGAGACCTTGTACCAGTCGGGGATATCGCGGCGGGTCGCGGCTACAGGACGGTATTCAGATATTTTTGATGTTGCAGAGCCCTTTATCTCGGTTCCCTTAAGACATTGGTGTATATGGTATTAAGAAAAATTGCTTATGTTTTCAAGATCTACACGTCGTGTAAAGGTAAACCCCAACTTTGCGGACACTCTGTATATCAAATTTGTGATCTGCACAATCAGCTTTCACAAGCGACTGTTTAAATAAGGGGTTAACAGCAATTTTTAGCTTAGTTTCCTCATCTATGTCATCGTGAAACAGAGAAGAGATATACACCTCATCTGTCCAATACCATACAAATGTTGGCAGAACATTTGTAAAGTTGCTTTTTAAATGGTTTTGTCAATTCTTCCGTAAGCCTTCGTTACCTTTAAAAAGCATAAATCCTGACTAGGTGCTTTTACCGCTAAGGTGCATTGCAATCACAGTTTCACGATGAACAGGCAGATATCTAACAGAGCTGCCGTATCTTTATTAGAAAGTCTGAGGTGGGAACTCAGTAACATTATTTTTAATGAATAGATTGCTCTGGCCAAAGAATATTATTGGAAGTGCTTTGGTCAATTCATGTCGATAAAATTCTAGCTGCTTGTCAGTCTCTGAAATATTCAGTCTGATAATCTGTATTTTCTAGGGATCCACACTTTTCCGGCGCTCGCAAAACTTTTTAAACATTCGAATGTCAGGGCTTGCTTTATTTACAATTGTTTTGACATTAGATGGTACGCGTTTGAAAAAACGAACTTTCATTTTTTCAGTACATGTTTTCGTTATAATATAAACTGCCCGGCCTATAATCTAAACAACAGCTTAGTTCATACTCTGCCGGTCGGAAAAGGTTTTATTTGCATGTGCGTATACATACGTCACAACAGCAGATACTCGGGTAGATTTATAGTTGTAAGTACACGGTAGAAGAAAAATAATGATCCTCTATTGGATAAAGGATGATTTATATATCTTTAACTTCTCTTTCTTATATTGCGAATTTATTCCACATCAACTATATAATCGCTGGGGTTACTGATCAGTCGATTGCTAATTTGTTTTACCGTTATTTGTAGTGTTGAAAAGTCGATATCATCGGAAGCGATAGGTTTGATTCACCTGGGTAATATCTTAATATAAACATAAAAAATGGCGTCGAGTAGATTGACTCATACTTCTTACGTCTCCGTTGGTGGGTTTAAGGAAAAGTGATGAATCAAATCGTTCAAAAAGGTGAAATGGGGCCGCAATTATGAACGATGAATCTTCGAGCTCTGCATATCAAATTATATAAAGCGAATCCATCCTATTTCTGTTTCCATGGAAGGGCTCAAATTATCACTGAGATCAGCAGGTTTTTAATAATGCCTAGGCCTTTCACTGACGCGAAATATGCAAGAACTTTCAACCATTTACAGCTTCCAACCTACAATTTTCATCCCCCGCAAACAATGTCCGAAAATGAGCAGGAATCTCTGAAACACACGATAGTAAATTTCTCTTGCGATGGTGGAGGATAAGTACTTTTGGGACCACCCTCGTAAAATCTGTATCATTCATAAACCCCTGATGACCAAGAAGATACAATATTATTCCACCGGATAAAATGAATCCATTTTCGCGGTCGTATGTACAGTCAATAAAACTTTACGATCAACCAATAAAAAATATCTCACGGCGAACAAGTTTTATGGTACTCGTAGAGATGTGACGGGTTGATGGTGCGACGTATAGGGGATTCCGTATTTCATTACTTTATAAAAATATCTTGATTACAACTGCGCATCTCGTTGATCGTTAAAAAGTTTATGGCTAAACGCACTGACATAATTACGTCCATGATATATGTCAATGCACGACGTATAGACCAGGCGGCTGTTACGATTTTGTGGGGCAATATTTAGTTATCGATATCCCTTCAATAATATTCCGTCCACACGTGAATGGGCCACACTGTCTATTATATATTCTAATATATTCTACAGAGGCAACAAAACAGCAAAAAATAGCCAATACACGTACGCAATCCTTCGTTGCCGTATCTCACCTGGCGTTTAAAAGTGTGTCGTATCCCGTGTACGTTCAGCGTGTCGAAAAGTGATTGACAGCTATGCATGTAAACGCAGTTAGTCACACGTCAGCATTGACGCGACGTCGTTCGTCATAGTTGCGGGGATTCAAAGGACCGTTTTTTTTCGTTTGTTTTGTTATTATAAAGCGGCGGTCGTAAAATCGAGTGTGTGACTCCAGCGACGACGTGCAAAGTCGAAACTGCATGGCCAGCTTTTGTGTATTTTTTCTATACACTTTAGAGGGATAACCGGTGCCGATGAGACGAAAAATCTGGCAATTGCTTATGATTTGCTTACTAAATATTCAGCCATTAGTAATGTATACAATGTATAATACTCGTCAAAATGAATATAAAATTGAACTTCATAAAAAACAAATAAACATCAACGAATAATCTACAAACAACTGAAGTCTTACAAAACACAATATTCCGGGGCGGCGTATTTCTATAAAAAACTGCTTAAGATTTAAGATCTATTTTAAAGGAGATCATATCTGTGGCATTTCTTATGTCTGCCGGCAAATTGTTAAACATGTTTGGCCCCAAGTACCTTGGAGATTTCCTGGATACATCGTATTTCACAAAAGGTATTGTCTTGTATTTAGTCCATGAACATCTCTATTTTTTAACTATTTTTCTAAATTTATATACGTTAACACAGCCAATAACATATATATAAACCAGGCAAAGTAAGTATTCCATATCTTTTAAACAGTTCCCTAAAACGATGCATAACTATCTACTTTCGCAATGCGTTTGACTCTTTTCTGGCATATATACAACACTTCACTTGATGTACCTCGGAAGCAAAGGCCGTACTTCAGCCTGGATTCAACCAGAAGTTGATCTTCATTTACAACTGTTCGTAAATTTGTATAAATGTATGAATGTGAATTGAGAACAGACATCATATTCTTGCAATGTTCTTTACAATTCACGTATACTCCCAAAAGTTTATGAACTTGATCTGTTTGTCATTTAACTTGATATCCGTGTCGTCTAACTTCTTCTGTACATTGTAAAACCTTACCACAGCAGTGTTCTCCGAGTTTAAAAATAATTAATTTTATACAAACCATTTTTCAAGATGCTTCAATAAATTTAGTGAGCAATGCGTTATCGTGAGGATCTGAAATTATAATAGAGACATGATCTGCAATGTAAAATTTACTTGGCCATTGAACAGTTCAGCCAGATCATTTATATACAGTGTAAATAAGACAGGCCCTAATATAGATCCTTGGGGAACTCCCATATCGATATCAACGCATGAAGACAGAACTTGCTTTATTTCTGTTTCATAATTATGTGATAAAGAAACATTTTGTGACCTGTTTTCCAAAAGATTTGTTCCATCTGAGAGAATTGCCAGTAATTCCGTAATCATGTAGTTTTTCTAACAATGCCACAACATTTGTTTCACGATGTAATATGTAATAATTTTAACTTTTGTTCCAAATATTTTTAATCCGTTTTGATGTGTTCCTGACATACAGCTGTGTGTATCTTATACTAATTTTAACGAATGTGCCATAGATCCAGCTTTCACTAGGTTACTAAATGTGTCGCTCAACTTAACCCTTAATAACATTTAGCAACAATCTCACACACTATTGTGAGTAATTCACAATAGTTGCTATTTCTTCTTAATGTTATTGCAGCTCCTGATGATGATGGCATAGTCCACTGAAAGCTTGAGACTAATAGAGTATAAAGAATCCTCATTGCTTGAATTTTGTCGAAGTACCCAAGTAAAGGCGGAATCCTATATATTTATAT